ACCAGGTTATACTCGAGCCTGATAATGAATATTATTCAAAGAACAAACAAAAAATTAACCATATGAGCTTGTATACTTGGTCGATGTTATGTTGGTTGACGATTAACAAGAACATAATCACCGGTTCGAAGATGTCGATAACACTTTTTTTCTAAACATTAAACTTGTATTACTATGTTGTTTTTCTCTTGTTAATTAAAGTTTAGCAACAGCTGTTCGTTTAGATAAATTATTTGGTAATAAACGACGAATTGTTCCGTCTTCAAGTTCAACAAAATTGGCTCTAAAATAATCTTTTTTATTGTATATCATCAAAGAATTTTTGTTTTATACCCAGGATGAACATCTGGTTCATTAAGAATTAATTGACGTAATTCATCAACATTATGTCGTGTAACTAATTCTGGATAACGTTAATTTTTTTGGAAATATTTCAGATATTCCAACTTGATAAATTGCAATAAATGGATCAGGTGATATTACTGATCGACCAGCATAATTTACACGTTTACCCATCATATACATACGAAATAAACCTTCTTTTTTTTTCAATAACCTTTTATTTTTTTTCAAAAAATAAAATTTGATTTTTACAATAAAAACAATAACATACTTGTCGAATACCTTTGGCTACTCGAGCACCACTTCGATTATCTAATCAACTATCAAATATAGAATTAACAGTAATTTGCATTTTAACCCAAAGATTATTAAGTTTTTCTTCATTTGTTACACCACGTAAAGTATTTGTTAAAGAAGATCGATTCTGAATATAAAGAAAAACAAAAATGCAGAATTACAATATGAAACACAATGAAGCTGTTGATGTTATAAAAGAAGCGATTAATCAATATATATGTTTCAGTTTATGAAATTTCACCTAGTGCTAATGCATCTCAGCGATGGAACGATATTGATTTGGATCTCACGATTATATTGGGAAAGAGAGAGAGAGGTCAAAACTTCTACTTCTATGCTTCAACATTCCTTTTAGATCGCGTTTCAAAAATAATAAAAATATCTTAGAGTAGTTGATGTTGATATGTCTGTAGTTTGTTTATCTTTTAATAATAAAAGTTCTTTCATATATTGATTATCTTGAATAATTGTTGAATATCGAACTGTTTTTGGATTTTGAAATTTTTGTGAATTAAATGATAAAACCTTAGAAAAGATAAATTTGAAATTTTTTCTTTTCTTTTTAATATAATTAAATACATACAGAACCAAATTTTCAAGGTAAAACAGGTAAAACTTGAAAAAAGAATAAACTTATTGAATTATTATGAACATGTCTTATTGAATGATGTGATGATCGTAAAGTAGCTAAATAAATTGCAAGTACTTCTTTTTCATTTGTCCAAATTTTTTCTAAATCTTTTAATACATCTAATCGTGTTAAATACATTTGACTGGACATCATTTTTGTTAACATTTCTTCTTCATCATTATCTATTGATTCATCATTATCTATTGATTCATCATTATCATTCAGTTTTTTTGATTGTCTATAATCAAAAGAAAAAAAAAGATTTGACAATGTATTTACGTCTCAGTGAAGGCTTTAAGAATCTATGGTAACTATAATAGAAATCAGTGAAATTTCGTGGATTTTATTGAGTCCACAATCGAAACTAATGAGGAGACTCCACAACACTGGAAAAAAAACGTTTCGATCTCATGTCTTACCAATAACTGGGACTAGAGAAGTTCGCAACGATTTGCCTCTATAAGCCTTCCCACAGTATTATAGCCGTTTTCCTGGAACTTCATCCTATAACAAACAATCGAATTAAGGAATTTCAGTCTGAAATTTATCCATAAAAAGGTCATATGATCTTTAAAGGATCCTAAAAGTTTCAGACAGAATGGTTGCTCCGTTTTGTCTTAAACTTATTAATTTGATTGCGAAAAGGAAAATGTTGAAGACATAAAA